GTAGAGGCGATAGATGACCGGAGGACCCTGAGAGGGTGTCATGTGGGGGCGCATGTTAAAGTTGGCAGGGAAATCAACACGTGTGTCCAATTTCTGGTTACGTGAAAACCTAGTTTCAAAACAAAACAAAAGATTAGTGCAGAAGACACGTTGTAGGAGAAGATATTTCAGATGCCAGGATGGCGGCTTTTGAAGGCACGCTTCCTTGGGGGCGCTCCCAAATGTCGCACTGGGTAAAATTGTTACCACTTAAGTAGCATGCACGGTTTTTGCCGACATTCGCTACCCCTCCAAATTTAAACACGCTCAAAAACATCCCTGTCCAAAATCACTATCGAATCACATGGTTTTCAGATTCTAGATTCAAATTATGGAGTTTTAAAAGACTTCTATTTGTACGGCGGCGACAATGCCTGACCTAGCCGGCCTCGATGTTGTCACTTTTTAAGACGGCATCCTGTCTCTTCGTTTATTAATGACCCTCATGAAGCATACAGTGAATTCCATATTAATTGCAAAATTTTACGAGTATTACGTGGTAGGTTCCTAATGGCATAAAGGAATGTAAGCATACAGTATGTGGACTTATAACCATGCAAATGCAACGGAAGATCAGCGAATTGGAAACTTTAAAACCTAGACATACCCCACCCTTGAATATAAAGTTTGACTAAGACACGAAGTACTATCAATGAAAAGAATATTTTGCTTCAATTTTCCGTAAAGCATATTCGAATTTGTAAGGGTCTCGAATATTTTTTTAAATGCAGCAGTCCCTTTTTGTCGAATGCGATTTTTATGGGCGGCTAAAAAGACGTGTACATTTGATTGAGCCGCACGATGATCGATCTTGTAATATCAATGGAGTAATCATTCCTACTTTAAGAGCAATGGCAGTGCAATTCTTGTTCTAATTTTCTCACTCCATTCGAGCTCGCAATTGATTGGTTGTTGGGTCCTCTGCGCTAGCGTAATTAAGGGCGCCAACCAATGAGCGCGCGGCTGCCCACTTGCATGCTCTGAGCGGCCGGACGATGTTGCCAACTCAAGCCTGGCTTTGCACTACAGCCTCCGCCAAGCCGGCGTGCGCAAACTAGCAAACTCTGCAGAATCGTCTTCGTCATCAGAAGAAAGTTTTTTGATACGGATTTGCTCGTCTGATTGCGAGGAGTTGCCGTCTTCGGTGGCTGAATCGCAAAATTCAACATGCACACCACCTACGTCAACACAGACAACAGAGGCCCAGCCGACAAATCGGCCATCGTTGCGCAAATGGGCAATTCTCTAGCGAATCCCATACATTCATTTGAACAGCCTACTGGAAATTCTCAAGCCTAACCTGCTCGGACGCTTCTAGGTGGGACAAACGGTTCCGCAGCGGTGACGACAATGCGCAGTGGTGAGAATGTTCATTTGGGGTCGTTAAGACAGGTTAAAAGCCAGTTAAGTAACCGTTCACTGCAAGTTCTATGTGATGAGGTAGTTGTTATTTTGGTAATTGATGGACTGCAAATTCAGGGGAAAACTAAAGGCGAATGTTGGCCTATTTTGGGTAGGATAATACGCCCTTTTGTTAACGAAGTTTTTGCTGTAGGAATTTATTGTGCGATATGCAAGCCATCGGACGTGCAGGCTTTCTGCGCGCCCTAAGCAGAAGAATTACAAACATTAGGTCAGTCAGCTATACATTATATTTATAAGGTCAACAGAAAACTGCAGTTCAGTTGGCTGCAGTAAGGTGTGATGCTCCAGGAGGAGCATTCATTAAACGGGTTCATCATAATGGTATGTAGACGTGTCCAACCGGTGGCATATAGACCGACGGTCAGATCCCAAGAAACTGCAAGCAGCGTGTAAGAACGAATTCAACAGGGCTCACAACCGCCGCCTAAAGCGTGCGCAGAAGGCCTCGAGTAGCCAACCTGCAGAGGGTAAACATGTACTTAAGTAGACTTACATGCTGTGTACTCCTAGCAGCACATACGCATTGCCAGATCTTACTCATTTTCCTTTTTATTTCTATTAGATTTGCAACGCGCGGACGAAATGAATGCTTCTGCAGACCGATATCCACATAATATCCACATCCAAGACTGTCTTCCGTTATTTAAATTGCGTTGGAGAATCGAGTGAGGGGTAAAAGTAGAGCTCGAATCGCGCCCGATCTAATGGACAAGACTGCCTTCGATTCACGTTCTCATGCTCGATCAGAGCTCGATTCTAACGCCTTTGTCGTTAGGGTAATCAAAAATGCATTAGAGAATTTCGCTTAGTATTTCTTAAGTGAACAAGAACTTAAATACATAACTGGGTACGAGACTGTGAACTCCAAATGAACGTACAGCCCTGATGGTGTGCCAGGAGACGGCAACAAACACCAAGGTAACACGCATGTTTGGGGGAGGACGGTAAGTCAATAAGTCAGCATTGTGAGTAAAAACGTCAAGGACCGCACACGCAGGAAAGACGGAATCCCACTTCCACGACCTAGCTAATCTCGATACCCCCGACGGCAGAACTTCGAATTCAA